AACAATTAACTAAAGATCCAACACACAAATAGTCATACTGTACGGCTTCACTTCACAGACATTTTCACAACTTGGTATAGATGATTTCGCCTTCAAGGGGCCAGAGATCATAATCCGTCCCCCCCCCCAACACCACCACTTCTGATCCCGGTTCCCGCGGACCGTCGCTCCTATTTAGTTAGATCTATGAATGAACGTGCACAGCGTGCTAGGAGTGATGTTCGTCAACTGATCGCAAGCCAGCTGCGATCACCCACCTGACCGAACATTTGTGAACCCATGAAGCAAGCAAGCGTCCTCGTCATACGCAGACAACACACACACACACACACACACAGGATACATGCCAAAGCGAACGAGATCTGGTCTTTCTTGTACACCCATCAACTTCACCTCAACTGACCCGGATTTTGTGCGCTTGTTTGAAAATATGGATAGGCATACTATAGACCAGACATATCGCGTTATGTCCTTAGCAGACCAAATAGCTTGGAACAATCTCAAATCTGCCCAACCACATTGGCTCTAGTCGTGTGAAGAATGGATGCTGATTTCTGCATCACTGGGATCCCTAATTACGCGAAATGGGCAAGCTATCGACAGGAAAAGTGACCAAGAAAATGATGCGCTTGGTTAGTTAACTCCTAGTCGATTGTGACCATGGCGTTTCCTCCAACAGCATCATTTGACTGCACTGTAAACGGTATCGCGCGAACGTTTTAATCTAATAGTTGATGTCTGGGTCGACACGCAGATGGAATGAATAATTTCACAACTAATGAAAAAGTAGAGGACAACCGAGCAAACTATTGAAAGTGTTTCACACTGAGATTTATTGGTTTTCTCATTGACCAACTCTTTCACGATTCCACAAATGCATGCGGCGCCAAGTTCTGCTCTGCCAGTTTTGGGGATAAAACCACTGATAACTAGCAGTAGTTCCCTCATTGTTCAGTGACAGATCTTCGTGTCAATCACAAAAGATCTGAGTGTGAAATACTATGGACATGACGAAGTGGTCATCCATATCTCATTTCGGAATTTTCTATGGTTCCTCTTGCTTCTGCAAGGTTATTCCATGATCCTTTGATGGGGCCATCGAAATCGGAACTGAAAGGGGTTGAGCACAGAATTAACGCTTCAGCATATCACGAAGTCAACAACCCAACTGATAACACCAGAGTTCGTAAAGAAGGACGAATTGTCGCTAGCTAAGAGTCATGTGCGCAAGTAGGAAGAATGCTAACAGTGGTAACAGATCGGGATTCTATTCCGAATAAACAAGATATGGGTAGTTCAGGGAAAGTTTATGCGACACAGCAAATGGAGAGAATCGGCTTGCTTATTCCCGAATTTCGAGTCAGAGCTAATTTTAGTGTGACACTCCGATTGTCTCAGCGGACAATGACAAGTCACCGGAAGTCGTGCACCACATGAAATTTTCCAAAAGCTAAACACATTTCAGGGGGGGGGGCTAGAACAAGTGGAAGTTTGACCAGACATTCCCCGGAAGGAAACAGGGATTGCCAAGTTCTTTAAAGAGCTTATCACAACGATCTAGTTCTCAATACGGCTATTCCGATGAGAAGTCGTCACTGCCACGTTGAGAGTTGTAACAGGACGTCGTGGGAAACTACAGGTAGCCCTGAAAATGTGACAGACATCAGTATGTGTGTAGGTGTGCATGTACGCGTGGTTTCGGTATCTTTTGTTTTGTTTTTGAAGAGCATGCACGGACAGATCAATATGAGCTGACTAATCACAGTCGCTAGTCGCACATGCACCAGCATGGATGAGACACAGGGTGGTGTTATTCCGTACTTCCCAAATTTGAAGGATTAGCAACACAGTCACACATAATACACACGTGCACGTTTCAACGTTTGCTGAGCAACCCTCATAAGCATGGGGATTGTGAAGAAAGGTGTCTTTTGCCGTCTGAAAACGAATGTGTCATACTGTTTGGCGATAGAAAGCGAACCAAGTGATAAATCGGATTGGAGACATGAGGTCAGCAAGTTCCGTCCTCTACCGGTCCCTCCTCATTCACAGGGAACAACCGTGTTTTCCTTTGTGTTGGATGGAGTAGACCCCAGATGAGCAACGTGGTTACCTTTATTGATCTACTACGTAATATGAACAGACAGCGTGAGCGCGCTCGTGCGCGCGCGCGAGAGAGAAGAAACCGGAAACCCATACAAAAAGAAAACTACGAACCAGAATAAGTCTTGTGTGGCAAGCAATGTGGTCACACAAATCATGAACTAGTCACATGGAACGGGCATGGATTCATCGAGAGGAAATTGACACCGGGTCACAACAGTAAGACACGTGCCAGTTAAACAAACGGCTCTTGTCAGAACACGCATCAGGCTGGACAGATGACAACGCAGTAAACGAAAAGGTAATTCTATAGCTAGTCTAACAGAGACAGAGACGTGGAACGGTAAGGTTATTTCTCGGGACCAACCAATCTCGGCAGGCACAGTCTGAGGAAGTCCAGGAACAGACAACTCCAATTTCTTCGAGAATACTGAAAAACATTGGTCACAGTTTCACTTACTGATTTTATGTGAACCCCACAAATAATGGACACCCGAAATACTTGGCACCACTTAAT